TGGAACAAAATCCATATTTGCCTAATTTCCAACCTGGCTAAGTCGCCAGAAAATTGATGTATGTTTTGTATTCATGCTGCATTTGTATGGGTTGTGTAACATACAGGTCGATCTCAGGGTCGARGCAATGGACTAAACAAAGATTTGTCGGCCTGAATCCAATTGATGGATAGATGATTACAGTAATTAGAAAGAAACAAATAAAGAAAACAAGAAATGAATGAAACAACGAAGGAACCAAACAAAGTGAGACAAACTACATATTAATGGGCCTTGGGTAATGTCAATTCTGATTTTCAATAATGGTGAGGATTTCTTAAGCAAAACTAGTTCAATCTGCCTCTTCCGAAGTGGACAAGTTTTCTTGAACCAAAACCCACATTTACTACCACAATATGCAAAAGTTAAACACATTAACATTAAAACAAATATTTTTGCCGATCTCTATCTCTAATTTTTCATGTTAAGTGACACTTAACTGAAATCAATTAACCAAACACTAACTTGAGCCAAGGAAAAATCAATCAATTGAATCTCAATGTTAACAATTGGTCAATACCAAAACATCGACCCAAAGCGACAATTATCCAATCAAAAGAATGTCGAACTAAACACCAAACAAAGAATTGTTTTTAAATCTAACTTCACTGAACAATAAAAGTGGGATAAACAAGCAAATTAATCACTACATTAAAACAAAATTCAATAGAAAGCATAAATGAGAAATTAACTAATAACTATGAACATATGTTTGAGGAATCTTGTAAAATTCTTAGAAATAATAGATATAAAGTACGGAAAAAACTTGAATAAAATCATGTGTAAGAGCTCGATTTCCTTAAGTTGTATTTGGACACAGTTTTCCTTGGTTTCACGAAATTCACTCGAGGATAACCTCAAATCTCAATTTCAATCCTCGCATTTGTTTCATTTTWAACTTAGAGAATCGTAACAATTCCTAAATCGAAGTCAAAAATATTAGCCCATTAAATGGAAATTACTAGAGTATTAGTGGGCAGTTAACGAGTTAAAAACGACTTACTTAGATCAGAAGGCATTTCTAACTCTTCAGAGTCAAAA